CTCCTCTCTGTCCTTGTATCTCTGAAGAATCTTTCATCTTGGGTCCTTCTGGGCATGCTTCTGATTGGCCTGGCCTCATACTTCCTCAACGTTCTGTGGCTAAAGCCTAAAAGGCTCTTGTGGAAACTTCAGAGGCAAGGAATTAGAGGGCCTTCTCCTTCTTTCCTATATGGAAACGTTCAGGAGATGCAGAAGATTCAGGCTAAAGCCATGAAAGCAGCAAATTTTGGCGAATTTGTGGCCCATGACTACACCTCCACTCTCTTCCCATACTTTGAACAATGGAGAAAAGAATACGGTAACTTCTTATCCTTCTTCTTTGATTATTTTACTAGTAAAAATTCCAGATGCCATTCAAGGTTGCATCACCTTTGACATAAATAAGATATAAACACATTACAGATATTCATTCGTAGTTATCTTTCATTTTACTCAGTTGGGTTCATAATTAGAGGGACAGAGACACTTTTATCTTTGAAAAATGCGATAAGGTGCTATCGAGTTCAGTGTTTACGTACACGTTGTCAGCAAAGTTATCTTTAGCGATGAGCTAAAGAATCCGGCTTCGTCGGTTGGAGAACTACTTGTGTTTATTAAAAACATACTTAAGTCTGCTTTGAATTCTTTATCTGATCATCAAAAGTTGATGAGGGCTCTTGAAACATAAAGTAATAATTTTGTCAAGATGCTTTAGAAGTTATTATGGAGTCATTAACCTTATTACTCCAAAAGCATTTTTAAGTCTTAGCCAAGATAAGCTCTGGATTGTCTGGATATTTGTCCTTTTGACAACTACTTCTATATATCTAAGACAAATAAAAGCAACGAATGCAGAGCTAGGCCTAAAAAAATTAGAAAAGAAGAAAGAGACGTCCTTGATATCCTGGAATAGATCAGCAAAAAGTCCACCCGTGATCGGTAATAGACTGAAAGTGATTAGATTCGATCAATAATTTGGACACATCACTTCCAAGAAAAGAGGGGGGTACATGAGTACTGAGCAAAAATTTTTTTTTTTTTTTAAAAAGGAGTACATATGGTAATTTGGTTGAAGGACTGATGAGTCTGTTTCTATAGCATTTTTGTTGTCTTTTTTTTTTCCCATACTTGTGTCCTTTAATTTTTGGGGGTCAGGACCTGTGTCTACTTTCTCGATCTCTTGTACTAACTAAAATGCTGTTTCACTAAAGAACAAGGCATATATAACACCAATCCTTTCTCTTGAAAGATTAGCAATTACTCGGACTTTTGGAGCCTGATCATCTGTTTCTGAATTATTAAATCTCGAATGGCACTGCCATTAGAAGATGGCAAGAGTAACCCATGGTTTAATCCATCAATACTTAACCAAGTACCGGCATTTTAACTTCAGTGCATAACTACACATAAGAATACCCTTTTGTGGTTGGTTAATTGTGACTGGTTATGCTGGACGTAAAAAAATCTAGAGCAACATTTAATTTTGGGCAAAACAGATTTGCAGCTCAAACTAATAAGGTGCCCTTTTAGAGCTGCACTTTGAATTGCAACCCAGCATTTGATATTCTTTTAAGTCAAGATTGAGCACTGAAACATCCTGGGAAAAAGGACCCGTAATAACAGCCGGTTGCTACATTGAGGTTGTCCGGGCCAGGGGAGAGGGAACCTTCCCTCTACTTTAGAAATGGACTAGATTTGCATCATAAAACCTGATATCAAGTGAGTTTGATTTGGAAAATGGAAGAGATGCTCATCCAAGGATGCATGCAGATATTCATCCATGTTATACGGTAGGAAAGGTACAGATTTTCTTGTCTGCCACATCTTTTTTAAGAGTTTCAAAAGCAAAGAAAACAAAGATAGCGACTCTTGCTGAATTGAGATAACAGATGAGGAAACTTTTCCTTATTTGGTCGATGGTCGATGGATGTTTGCCGTTCAAAGCAATAATTGGCCGGGTTATGGGACATGCTTTGACAAACGTGTTAAGTCCTAGTACACTCTGCTGTCAAAGTTGTACGCCCTTTTACTTCAGCACATTTGGGTTTTAATGTTTTTATCGGGGAACACTCTGACGGCAATCATGTGCAATTTGTACAATGGTGAAACACACAATCTTTGATTCTCGAATTAGCCTCGTGTCCTTCTAATCAATCATACGTAGCTGCAATTATTTCTACCAGCGGATGTACTGCATGCATGATTGGCCGGTGGCCAGACCAACAAATTGTTCACCACCGCCAATCCTTAGCGTTACTTTTGTTTCTACCTCCTATCGTTTTCTGATCTTTCTTTTTTTAGTCCTATGGATCCTTGCATCACTTGGAATTGTTATTGGATACAGGCCCCATATACACGTACTCAACAGGAAACAAACGGCATCTGTACGTAAACCATCCGGAGCTAGTCAAGGAGATGAACCTCAGTACTAGTTTGGATCTTGGGAAGCCTTCGTATGTTACGAAAAGGCTTGCACCTATGCTTGGCACTGGAATTTTGAGGTCTAATGGGCATGCATGGGCGCAGCAGAGGAAAATTGTTGCCCCTGAGTTCTTCAGCGACAAGGTCAAGGTAAATAAGTTGAAATAAACGGAACTGTATATGAGTTGAATTGTACATAATTGACTTGAAAGTTGAAACTGGAGAGTTAATTGCTGTGCGAGTGAGGCAGCTAGATTTAAAATTCATTTCAGGGCATGGTAGGTATGATGTTGCAATCAGCAGAGCCATTGATGGCCAAATGGGAAGCCAGCATTGAAGCCCAAGGCGGAACAACTGCAGAGATCAGAGTGGAGGAGGACCTGAGGGGTGTCTCAGCTGATGTGATATCAAGGGCCTGCTTTGGGAGCTCCTATTTCGAAGGCAAGAAGATATTCTCAAAGCTCAGAACCCTCCAGAAAGTCATTGCAAATCAAAGTGTACTTTTTGGTATCCCTACACTGGGGTATGGTGTTTCTTGGCCTATACTTGGATCACATTTTGACACAAAAACAAAGTAAAACGGTACCTGTAGAAAGTAACACCTAACATTATCCATGGGCAGATTTTTTCCAAGCAAACAGCAAAAGGAGATTCAAAGTTTGGAAAAGGAGATAGAGTCGCTGATATGGGAAACCATAGCACAACGTGGAGAAGAATGCTCACAGGAATTTCCATCGGAAAAGGATCTATTGCAACTGATACTCGAAGGGGCTATCAACGACGTGGGCAAGAATTCGTCTAAGAAATTCATTGTCGACAATTGCAAAAATATTTACTTCGCCGGGCACGAGTCCACTGCTGTTGCTATATCATGGTGCTTGATGCTTCTAGCTCTGCACCCAGAATGGCAAGATCGTATCCGCGATGAAATAGCTCAAGTTTGTCCAGATGGCTCAATTGATGCTGATTCTCTCCCCAAGATGAAAATGGTATCCATTATGAGTTCATTTTATGTTATCGTAGAACTTCATTCACGTCACTTTTGTCTAGCGTTTTCAAGACGTTAAAGCACGGGACATGAATCTTAATTTGAAATCATTACGAGATTCATGATTAACAAGGAATAACCTCATATTTGGCTGCATGCATATCCTGGCTTTGCTATTGCAGGTGAAAATGGTGATTCATGAAGTGATGCGGTTATATCCACCAGCAGCATTTGTGTCGCGGGAGGCACTTGAAGACGCTCAAATTGGGCACCTACTGGTGCCTAAAGGCGTCTGCATATGGACATTGATACCAACCTTGCATCGTGACCCTGAAATTTGGGGATCAGATGCAAATGAGTTCAAGCCTGAGCGATTTGCAAATGGAATTTCTGGTGCCTGCAAATTGCCTCAAGTTTATGTCCCCTTTGGCGTAGGCCCAAGATTGTGCTTGGGCCGAAATTTTGCTTTGGTTCAAATGAAAGTGGTGATTTCCCTCATAATCTCCAAGTTCACCTTCTCTTTATCTCCCAAGTACCGACATTCTCCAGCTTACCGCATGATCGTAGAACCCGGTCAAGGTGTCCAAATTCTAATTCAAAGATACGAAAGGACCTCCAGCATGTAACTTCAGCTGGATCAAGTCTTGGAAGTAGCTAAGCTTGTTTATGTTACCTTAAAACTATCCTCCTTTATTTGGGGTACTGTGCTTCTTCCTCCATCTCATCCCCCCCCCCCCCCCTTTTTTTTTTCTTAATCTCTTCTTGTTCCCTTATCTGAACTGTTAATTCTCTTCTGGTCCACCATCCTGTTGATTTCATTTAGGCATTGTAGGATAATCTAATTCAGGGGTTAAATTTAATGGATTCAGATCTTAATATATTCAAACTGTTTGATAACTAAAAATTGAACATTTGAATTAATTAAATGGCACTGAATTTTCTAGGCAAATCTTGTTCCCAAAATTAAGTGATAAGTTATTCATTTATCACTGAATGTGATACGCATTCAAATATATCATATTTAGTAGTTAACAATTTAACAACTTAATAGATTCAAACTTCATATTTTAGATTTTAGACTTAAGTTTTACCAAATACGCCCTTAGTCTTAGCAATTAGCATAGCCTCTTCAAAAACATTTTCTCAAACTAGAGAGCAATAATATGTTAACTCAAATTTGATTTTGATCACCGGAGTCCACAACATTGCTTTTGAATTAACGGTGTGATTAATAGGAGCGGCTCGATCCTTGAATTAAATAGGAGAGATAATGAATCAAGCAAAGCCCTTCACTCCAGACCGAATTTGACATCCCTTAACTTTGATTAGCATCCTTAATGATTGTTATATATAATTCTTAATAAGAAATTCATAATTTAATAACTTAATATTACAGGACATCCACTCACATATGGGTGGGTTAATACTCTAATTTTGGGTATTAGATAAATCGCATCTCATGTTTATGAAAAATCCGTACCGCCCAATCATCAACGTACCAATGCCTCTTATGCATTAGGAGACAATCCGGAATTATTTCTTAAAATTTAAAATAGAAATATTAACCATCTCTTCAAAGTCGAAAGTTTTTTTTTTTTTTTTTTTTTTTGAGGGAAACCCATCTCTTGAAAGTGCCTCGTTTGTTTTTCCCATCCTTAGCCTGTGGCGTTGCCCCAAAAAGATTACGTATGCAACTGTGTGGTGGAGAAATTAGAGAATAACGTGATTAAACGGAGATGGCCGCCGTTGCAACCTCCGCTTACGGCAGCTGTATTCCCGCCAATTTCCTCCATTCCCCGCTAAAAATAACCAACCAGATTTCATCCCCGCCGCCATTGTACATCTCCACAAACCCATCCCACGTAAACCCAAGCCATCTCCAGCACCTCTACGCTCTCTGCAACCACTCCTGCCACCGCTTCCCTAAGCTCGACTCCGATTGCCGCGTAGAGCTTATAGACGTCGGCAAACTCCGAACTGCTCTGTCCAATAGCTCCGTTGTCGTATCGGTCTTCACGAAACCCGAATTAGCTAATGATTTATCGTCCACTGCTGAAGTCGGGACAAGATGGATGGGCATTGGTGGGAATTGGATTCAGCGAGTGATGCCGGTGACTCCAGATAACGGGAAGCTTGTGGGGTTTGGACGCGCTGTTTCTGATTTAGGGCTAACTGCTTCCATCTATGATGTCATGGTCGGAACACTTTTCCTTCTGAAAAGGTCATTTTTATTTTATTTTCCTTCTAATGTAGTTGTTTTTCAGTGCATTTCAGGTGATCCCTTCTCTCCAGGGTAGAGGAATTGGGCGGAGGATTGTTCAAAGAATTATAAGGTTGTAATGGGACTAGATATTTTTAAGATTCTAGGGTTCTAGGCATTGCTTGGAATTTGGGAATCATTAAGGAAAATCATTTGCTTATATTGTTTTGAAGGAGACGAAAGTTCAATTAACAAGTATATGCGAGGAACTGTTCAGCTTTTACTGATCGGTAATATTGAGTTAATCAGCCAAGTGTAGTTTAATTTTCTACCGTTATTCATTTTTGGCATGTTGTAATTGTGGTGTAGCATCGAGGAAACATTCTACCTAGTATTACCTGCAGGTTTTTCTCTATTCATTTACCATTTTGTGGGAAGGATTGTTTGGGGTTGCTGACTGCAGAGCTAAGCATAATGGGAAATACATTTGCTACATAATGTGCTAGTTGTTCAAAATTTTTGGTAGTCAAGCTCTGAAAGATGTCTAAGCACTCCAATATTTCTTGCAGAATGCTTACTGGCAAAGGGGTGTACGATATATCCGCCCTTTGCTCTGAGAAAGAGGGGTAAAGTTTTAAGTTTCAGTAATTCAGTGTGTTTGGATTACACATTATTTCCACCTTATTTACACACACTGATTTGTTTTCATCATCAACACATTTTTCAATCATCTTTTTATCTCACATATATCACATTAAAAAAGTATTACAGTATTTTTTTACAAAATTATCTCAAATAATTTACTTGTATCATCAACACATTTTTTTTTTTATCAATGTAGGTATCGATCTTATTTCCTGCAATTTTTCGGAAAAGGGTATCTTTTGAAGCTAACATGGCCCTTGTATTCACCCTCAGGCTATTCTTTAAAGCATGTGGATTTGGAGAAGATATTCTTGGTTCCACTACAATGATGTATACTGGGACATCTAGCTGTCCTGATGCACATCAGACTGCTATATATGCTGGCAGAAAGCTACTTTTAAGTCCCCCATCAAGACAATAGTAGAGTTCGTAATCTCTCTTTCCATGACCGTGCAGATGCAGAATGCTCTGTTCTTCAGATAATTGGATTGCAATCTACGTAGAACTTCTATTGACTGGCCTCAAAGTTGAAGGGTTCCATAGGCACTCTATTCCATTTACTGATTTACCGCACAGCACTCTTCAGGCAGTAAGTTAATGGAGTAGGACTTTGTGCTCCTTGTGAGCACTGGGTTAAAGTGTTTCCCTTCTTTAGACCAGCTGAAAGGGATGTGCTGCATCGCCAAACAATTTCATGTACCATTCTAACAGGCTTTTAAGTTGTTCAGTTAACAAGCCTTTTTTTTTTTTTTTTTGATAAATTGCCGCATGAGTGGGCCATCCATCTAATTTTCTTCCACTTTATGCTGGACAAACTTTTGACTTTTGTTCTGATTCCTCTCCTCTTGGTATGGATTTACGGGTCATTTGCTCGACAAAAAGGTGACAGAGATTTAGAAAGTCGTGATGGATAAGGAATTCTCTTGGCCTGTGGGTAACATTAGTCTGGAATGGTACAAAGTTGTTAACTTTCTCTTTTCCTTATCAACTCTTCTTTACAGAGTTGGAAGAACTTTTCAGAAAGCAACCTCTGTTGCCGTTCTGTCTTCGTTTCACGATTGAATCTTAGCTGTGATGGGAAAACTATGGGTTGAGGTCTGCCTGATTTCTGCTAGGGGACTCCGGCGAACATCTTCAGTGTGGAAGCGCCAGTGGTTTGCCGTTGGGTGGATTGATACTAACAACAAATACTGCACCAGGATAGATGCTTCGGGAAATGCTAATCCAGTTTGGAAAACCAAATTCTCGACAGGGGTTGATCCTTCTGAACCTAACTTCCAAGATATGGCCCTCCACGTCGAGGTCTATAGTAGAGAACCCGTCTTTCTTAGAGAAAGGCTCTTGGGAACGACAACGGTGATTCTTAAGGAATTTCTGGAGAAGTACTTGAAGAATTCTGAGGTTCCAAAACCGGTGGAAGAAGTAGGAAGTTTTCAGCTGAGAAAGAAGAATACAAACAAACCTCGAGGATTTGTTGATATCTCAATCCGAATATCAGAAGAAAGGGAAGAGTCTAGCTCATACCAAGGTACAATTACGGACTCCCTCATCATCATGACTTTCTTTTTTCTCACGAGAACCAAACCTCATCAGTCTCTTTGTTCGGATTCCTGCATACTGCAATTTTCCTTCTGGCGCATGGGCTATGTCTATTATTGAACAGCAATAATGCTTTCCACACAATTTAAGGGTTTGGACTGTAGGATCCTTAGAATCAACGAGTTTCGATGTATGTCCTCGTGAAATTTGTGAAATTTTGGTTTCTCAGGTGATGAGGAAGGATTTAAGCTCATGGATAACAGCATGGGAATTAACTTGGATATTGGGCACGGACCCCTGCATTCACAATTTCCTGCACCCTCACCGCTGCAGCCAGGAAGTCAGCCGCAGACAAGCAGCCAGTATGCCCATCCACTTCCATTTCCTCGGAATTATCCCAATATACCAACGGGTCCAAGCTATGCACCAGCCGGGGGAACAAGCTATCAACCACCAAGAGCTCCACCCCTACCCCCACCCCCACCACCCTCAAATGTCGGCTATATACATACCTCTCTACCGAGGACAGATGATTTGCGGCCTAGTTACATGAACATGCCATCATCTGGACCAGCACCTGGACGCAGCAGCAGCAGGGGACCTGGTATTGGGGTGGGACTAGGTGCTGGAGCATTAGCTGCTGGAGCGGTGATCTTTGGGGATGATTTTATGTCAGGTTTTGATTTTCCACGCAATTTACAAGATGCTAGCCTCACAATATCAACTGATCCTCCTTTCTGAATATGCGTAGAACATAATCTGCTGTTGTATGGCGAGGGACATTATTGTTGTTTTAAATCATTTCAGCCTTCAACAATTACTGCATCCTGCACCCCGTAACAAACATGGGATATTTGTGATCACTGCTAGCCCTCTAAATCCAGAAGGAAGTTTGGATATTGGCTATGCATGTTCAAGCTTCTGACACCAGTGCGTCGCAATCAACATGTGCTGCTTCATAAAAATAAAAAATAAAAAAAAAATGCTACTCATCGGGGGATACTATGAAGAGATACAAAACGGGCAAAAAGAAATATTAAATGATGTTTATCCATCTTTTTACTTTGACAATCAATGGGGAGAAATTCTTTCTGGAGTTTAATTATCTCTCCACATTTTTTTATGAGGGTTCAATCCTCTCCACAATTGTCAATTGGTTTAAGAAGATCCAGGGTTAAGTCACTACTTGCAAACGCTGCTCCTGCGAAGCACCAAAAGTTCTCTGCAGAAATTTCTCAACAATAGATACAAACTCTTCAGTCTTTTCTTCATGAGGTAAGTGGCCGCAATTCTTGATCACCTCAAGATGAGATCCTGGAATGACTTGTGAAAGCCTTTTAGAGTTCCAAGGGGGAACAAGTCGATCGCTATCACCAGTGACAATTAGGACTGTAATTTACATCGGCAATGTCAGCATATACAATGTCAGCAATGTCCAGTTCAAGAAATTGTTAAAAAGATATAGTCATCAAATATAAGAGATGAATGCTACAGCTACAGTACCCAAAACATAGAGGCAATAATCCTTTAGGACAAACTATAGGCTCAAGATGAAAATGTATGAGCATTCAGAGGGCTAATGATGATTAAGACTGTACCGTAAGCACAAAAACTAGATAATCAGATCATTTAGTCAATCAATTGACATTAATCCAAAATTTAGGACCCACCAAACATTTTCTTGATTATATTTTCTATCAAGTCTTCTAAACTGATCAATGGTAGGAAAGGATCTTATCTTTCATAGGATTATTTTGATTGGTCACAAGATTTAGGTAAATTTTGTAACCTGGACATGAGATTTCGCCCAATCTTTTGGAAAGCTGTGGCTTTGATTGAGAAGAAGAATCTGAAAGCATTGCTACCGTATATTCCACAAGGGCCTTGTCCCAACCTTTCACCCTCAGTGGCTGCAATAGTAAAGTGGGGAGTTACAAAAATATACATAAATAGAGAAATTCTGTATGATCTGAGTTTTTTCTCTGAGTGGAAAGCAACTTAGTATAACGCATCCAGAATTAGGGGAAACTGGAAAAGAAAGCTTTTTAAGAATCACCTTTGTGTAACCTTGTAGGACATAATCAGTAACTTGATTTGAATCATACCACGAATTTCGAAAAACAGCTATGCCAAATTTGTCAATTATCATTCTTACCTAAAAGCATGAGCAAGTGAGTGAGATAGCCACATGCAACAAAGAAATAAACGTCAGATCTGTGCATTAAAACGAACAAGATGCAGACTAGCAAAAATTTCCCTTATCTAATGAAATTCCTTGGTCATCCTCAGTATCCCAAAAATTGTAAATAAAAGCTAGACTGTATAGTGAGATTCTCCATCCGTTGAGTTGAGAAGCTGCACTTGGTGTCTCAGATAGTCATTGTCTTTCTACATCGATAATAGTGTTTCAAAATCCTCTATGAATTTAACTTATCAACATAATCTGTAAAATTCTCAAACCAAAAGCTGAAAGATAAAGGATGTTATAATTTAGTTACCACAGGGCCTTAAGTATTGGAAACCATGAAAATAAATTTAAGCCAAGAGAATAATGAAAATTTATCCCGAAAAGAAATTTATTACCAGCATTACACCAATGGCTGAGCGGAGGAGTGCAGATAAAGCCTTCTTGTACACATAATTTATCATATCTCCCATCCCTTTCAACATATTCATAATTGCCTGAGCAATATGTTTAGTTAACTTTGACAACATGCTGAAAATCCTGAGAATTGGATTCCAGTGACCATCTGAATTTGAGTGCTCCTCTTGTTTCTTGTTGTTTTTACCTCTCTGATTATCTTTGGAAAAATCCTGTTTCAAAAGAGGTGCTAAAATTGCTGGAGCAACAAGAACCATTGCAGCAACTCGCTCAGGTGCCTCAAAATATGTATCAACTGCTACAAGGGAACCAGCTGAGTGCCTGGAATCTGTTAGCTTTTAGTAAGCATGAACAGAGATTTTCACCATCAGAAAAGGGACCATTCACAGAATGAGAGGGAAAGTACCAAAATATTGATCATAGGTGTGAAAGTATTCTTCTTAAAAAATTAATTAAATTTATCTCTCAATTGACAGTATGCCTCCAAAGCAGAATACATTTAGTATAGAGCATTGACATTGACTATTTTTCTCCTTGTTACAATTCAGGTCAACATTTGAGGAGTTTGTGCTAATTTCCAATGGTTTACTCCACAGAATGTGCGAGAGTAGAGACAGTATAGAAACCCTTAGCAGTAAAACTTAATGATGAAATATTCAGAAACCAGAAAATGGGCACAATATGAGAAGCAATCAAAAGAACAGAGGGTTGAATATATATCACTTACCCTACCAGAATTGCTTTTTCAGATGCTAAGAAGTCAATAAAGTACAGGGATGCCATTACAGAGAACATAGTCGAGTATGGATTTAGAGGTCTCGCATCTGCACTGCCAGCAGGTGAATGATTGGTTGGATCGACCCATGATGTCAACCCAAAGGCCGGTCTATCAAAGGCAAGAACTTTTGAACCAGTGACCTGTGCCAAAGGCTTCATGACTCGATTCCATGAGAATACAGAAGCTCCAAAACCATGCAACAGAATCATGGGAAAACCAGCCCTTTCAGTGGTATCAGAAACTTGAGTAGTAGCAGCCTCTTCTGACAAGTTTGGAGCCAATGATTCAGCATCAAATATTTTGTAGTGTATCTGTACCCCTTTAAACTCACAAAAGCAACTCTCAGGATCAGCCAAAAGTTTGGGATCTTGTAAATCATCCTGATCTATGCCTGCTATTCTCTGCTTTTTTGGCTTGGGTTTGACACCTCCCAAGAGTTGCTCTGTGCAGAATAGTCAATAATTAGCAGGAAGCATGTCAAGATATAGATAGCATTAGGAAGAGAAAGAGGATGACAATTGTTACTTTTCTCTCTGGTACAGCTATAGCTATTCTGTTCCCCGAGAGAACTGGAAAACATATATAGGAGTAAATCTTGTTGAATTTTCCCTTAGAATACTGATAAACAATGATAAATATTCCTTCCTTTTCGAAAAAAAAAAAAGATTGCTTCTACAATAACATATTCAAAGACAGCTTATGAAACCATTTCCTTTACTAGGATTTTCTTGAATAGGGAAAATTTAGTAATCTTTAGAGATCTAGAAAAGAATTATGAAAGGGGTTAGCAATGACATAGGATTGTCGTTGCTTCAGAAAAAAAATCAATTAAGAGAACCGAATTTACTAGCTTTATGCCTATACAGATGAAAATTGAGCTAATACGGATGAACTGATCTCATTAGAAAGGCCATTCTGGTTAAAGAAGCTAATTTTGAAGGTAAACCTAAATTGTCTCATCATAAGAACCCACTACGCTGATACGTAGTAGTAACCGTTGCAGTATATAAGAAAAAGGGATTCTTTTGGCGACCCTTTTGATTCTGTAAAACTTGTATAAACATAACTCCTACTAAGATGATGGTTTGTGGTTGCTCCATTTTATATCAGTAAGCAAGCAAATTTAACCGCTTCTTTTCTCGCTCTAGCAAATAGGAAGCATTGTAACATGATATACCAACAAGAAACAGACAAGAAAATTTATGTTTAATCAATATATATATATATATAAGCCTGGTTTGATCTACCAGAATATTCTGTAGGGGAAGAAGAAGAAGAAGCAGCAGAGGCAGTAGCTCTAGGGACAAATTTGGAGGAAGCATCATGTATCAGAGCCAGTTGAGATTTCCCACAAGTTTGCAGTGGCAACCCATGTGGGGTTTTGCGGTTTGGAAGAAGCTTTGGCAGTTGTTGAGGAGGGCAGCAGCAGCTCCCAAACAACACTAACTGCTGACGATACACTCCACAGATACTCATTTCTAGTTTTACTAGTGTGTGGGCACACCAATCTTATTTGTAGGGTGGGGGGGTTTCTTCGTATTGTTGATTGTGGGATCAAACGGGACTTCCTTTAACCCCAGACTTGGCAGGGAAAGAAGCGGGGGCAACCACCCCACCTACCACTTCTGTGTGTGATAAGAGATGGATTCATTTGGAATCCGCTTTCTTATTATTTCCTTCTCATCGAGTGTGCTCGACCAGAAAGTAAATTTTTTTCCCTTGTCATGAGTGTGCTTGGCTAGAATCTGGAAAAAAAAATACTGAGTTTGTTTGGATAAGAGTTTATTTGGATGATTTATTTGAGATATTTACTGTAGCACTTTTTGTGATGTGATGTATGTGAGATAAAAAGGTTATTGGCAAGATAAAAAGGTGATTGGGATTTGTGAAAACAAATTTTGCAAACCAAATTTGACTTGTCCAAACAAACTCACTGAGTTCCATTGGACATGAGATTATTCGAAAAAATATATTTGAAATAAAATAATATTATAGCACTTTTTATAATATAATGTATATGAGATATAAATTTAATTAAAAATTATATTTATGTTGCAAGTAGGACAAAATTTGAAGCCTTTTATTTTTCAAGTCTTGATAATCAAATAGATCCACTATAACTTTTTTTTGGAGAAGTAAATGTAATGTGGTATATGAGACAAAAAATTAATTAAAAAAATAAAACAATAATTAAAAAATGTTCATGATCTAATAAACATTTCTTTTTATAAATAATCGTCAAGCCCATTATACTGGATGTGGTCATTTATTTGTTAGTAATGCAATGACCTTAATAATTAAAAAAAAAAATTTTAAAAAAAAGAAGCGCTATTTCATATTTTTAGCATGAGCGTAGCGTGTGTGTACATATATATATATGTATGTATGTATGTGTATATTTTTTGGGTTTTTGGGATGGAGGAGGAGGAGGAGGAGGAGGAGGAGGAGGCGGGGGGGGGGGTGGTTTGGCTGGGAGGATTGTTCATGGTAAAGCAAAACTGTGTAAAATGCTACTATATAGCATGGTGGTGTATTTGTACCGTTACGTCATGACCTTCCAAATACTCTGGAAATGCTAATTGTATTGTACTCTTTGCTTAGAATCCTCGTTCGTGAATCGTGACGGCAATTTTGTCCATCTCTTTCCTCCCGACAACTACTCCCTATACCATTGTTTAGGAAGGGGATAATTTCATAAACCTACCTGAGATTTCTGACAATTTTACTTACTTCCCTTTAGGTTTGAATAATTACACTAGCCTCTATTCTTGTAGTAAAATGACTATAATATCTTTCACTTATAAATAATTCTTATAAACAAAAAAAAATTCCCACAATTATAATTAGTTTTTCATTCTAAAGCAATGGCTGCCACACAAACTAAGCTATTGTTCTATTTCTCAGACTCTTTTTTTGACCTTTTTTTTCCTACATCTCATAATTTATTATTTTTTTTGCAAATAGATCCTCTATTTTTTTTTTGTTTTCCTTTTTTATAAATATTATGAATTGAAATTGCAAAATGATAAGTTGCCGAATCATATTTATTGTTAAACTAAATGAAGGCGAAAAGGATAGCGATGATACAAAGTACATACAAGAAAATAAAGCGATAGCTAAAAAAGAAATATGGACTAAGAAAGGTTAGGGGTGTTATGCCAATTGTGTAAAAAAATTTTTGAAATATAAAACTGCAATTAGATTTGCCTAGAGCCATAAGATGTGGCTTTTAGTGTTGCTTTTGGTTACTCCATGTTGTCATTCTTGGTGGATTACATTATTTAAGCGTTAACAAGGTTGGATAGTAACAATAGTCAATTCAAACATTAAGTTTAGGCAAAAAAAAAGGAGGCTAAAGATTATATTGAATGCAAACTTTAATTGTCCCAGTTGATTTGCATGGGAAGCTTTGCGACGGCAATGGTAGGCTATCAAAATTATAAAAATATACAAATTAAGGTGAAGTGGTTTAACAAGTTCGTTAGGCACTTTAGAGCGGTGATTATGCAATTTACAATAGTTACAACGTGGAAAAAACTTATTAGTGAGTTTTTCCCCCTTTTAAATAACAAAGGGGTATTTTAGGATTTTTGAGAACAAAATTAGTATATTAGGTCTATATTATTATTGAAATGCTAAAATTATGGGGGTGGAAGGTGTAATTTTTTAAACTAAGAGAAAGCTCCCTGCAATAGCCAAACCGCAAAGAGGTTTCTGAAATTGCGCTTTCGATAATCCAGTCCAATCCATTCCTTCCAAATCATAAAACCGCAACGCCAAGGGAGACCAATTTACAATCAACCAAACACTTCCTTATTGTTCATACAATGCCGTTCTGACAGAAAAAAATAAATAAAAATAAACTTCCTTATTGGGGGTATCGTATCTGCCGCATCTGTCAGCAGATTCGAAGCCTCGTATCTGTGACTGTCATACCAAAATGGAAGCTTTGCTCTGCAAAAAAATCGGCGATCCGACGCTGCCTTTGGACGACTCCCCCTCCTCTCCTTTTACTCTTACAGCCACTCACCCCATTCCGGAACTCAACTCGCCCACCTCTGTCCGAGTCCGAGTCAGAGCCACCAGCTTGAACTACGCCAATTATCTCCAGATCCTCGGCAAGTACCAGGAGAAGCCGCCTTTACCCTTCATCCCCGGCTCCGACTACTCTGGCGTCGTCGATTCTGTTGGTTCCGGAGTCACTAAATTCAAAGCTGGCGATGCTGTTTGCTCCTTGGCCTCCCTTGGCTCCTTTGCACAGTTCATCGTCGCCGATGAAGCCCAATTGTAAGTCCGTCCGCCCTTCCTTCTTTCTCTTTTTCAATTCATTGATTCAAGTTTTAGCTTCTTCATCTTCTTCTACCCAAATAGTAGAACTAAGTATTATTGGTCTTGAATAGTTTCATTAATTTTGTTTCTGTAAAACTTTCCTGCTACTACTGAAGGTTTAGAGTGCCGGAAGGGTGTGATCTAGTGGCTGCGGGTGCACTTCCTGTGGCGTATGGGACTTCGCATTTGGCCCTGCTTCACAGAGCTCAATTGCAGCCTAATCAGGTTGCACTAATAATGCTAGCTTCTCTGCCTTCTGCTTTCTTCACTTTTTTTTGTTCCTTTTTTTGGTTGTTGTGAATGGGCTATAGCATAACTAGCATTTCTTTATATTATTGCCTTGGACTAGTAAAACGAAGATTTATAATTGAATACCACTCCATAGGTGTTGTTGGTGCTTGGTGCTGCTGGAGGAGTGGGCCTTGCGGCCGTGCAAATTGGAAAGGCTTGCGGCGCTATTGTTATTGCCGTTGCTAGGTATTCTACTAGTGGTTAATGTAGTTTTAGAAACTTCAGGGTCCTGTTGGTTGCACATGATATGTTTTCTGGTTATTGGTACAACTGAGTATGCATAAAAACTTTTCAAGAAATTAATCTTACTCCAACAAAGCAGACCTAAATTCGAAAGGGTTTTGAGTAATTTGTTGCTTTTACGAACCTTGGTCTAGCATAACTTGGACTTGGTCTGTGTATTAAAATTTCAGGGGAGATGACAAGGTTCAGCTTTTGAAGACCCTAGGTGTTGATCATGTTGTTGACTTGAGTAAAGGAAATGTCACAGAAAGCGTCAAGGGATTCCTAAAGGCAAGAAATCTAAAAGGAGCTGATGTTTTGTATGATCCTGTTGGTGGTAAAGTTACAAAGGAAGCTATGAAGTTGTTGAATTGGGGAGCTCACATTCTGGTAATAGGTTTTGCAAGTGGGGATGTGCCTGTTATCCCAGCAAATATTGCTCTCGTTAAGGTATCACTAGGAATTATATGACTTATTTGGTGCTTGCTTGTTTCATATTTTTGGATATCATTCTTCTGAGGGAATAAAGAAATCATTTCCTTGGACCAGATTCATAAGGTCAAGTTCAAAGCTGGATTTTATTCCTCAGTCTTGAGGTTCCTAGAAATTTCTGCTTTCCTTGCTTTTCTCCTATTTGAGGATTCTATCTAAAATAATCAAAATGTAGTTTATCCTAGGTTGAGATTTTACCATATGATGATTTGTTAGGTCAAGTTACAGAAATAATCTGTTCTTAGTAGCTAACCTCATAATTGGAGGCTTGCTTCTGATGCTAATCTCCTATTGGGCAAGTTTTTGCATGCTCCAAATTGGAGGCTTGCTCTATATGGCATGGGTTGGAGTTGTCATGACATTTTTCATGCTAGTGGCTGACACCATAATCTTGTACCTGATGCTATGAACTTGCTCTTTCCTCTCTGGAAGTATTGCTATTATTTATATTGATATGTGCTTCCTTATGTTCTAGAACTGGACGGTTCATGGTCTCTACTGGGGAAGCTATATGATACATCGACCAGTTGTACTTCAAAATTCCCTAAAGGAGCTGTTATCCTGGTTGGCAAGTGGCTTAATTACCATTAACATATCTCATGCTTTCAGCCTGTCAGAAGTGAGAACCTCTTCTTTCCTTCTTCTATGTGGAGTAAAGGTTTTGCAAAACTAAAGGCAACTTAGTATTTCCGTTTGCTTTGCCACATTAAATCATGTGTCTAAACAGAACCTGCATGGACATTAAGGAATGAAAATTTGGTCAAGGGCCAGACAATCTTAGGGTAACGTCAGTGGTCTACTTGTATTCAGGTTCTGAATGACTTGCTTACCAGTTACCTCTTTCTATTCGAAAAGAAAAACTCCCAATAACCAATCAAATCTTCAAGAAACTAAAAATTACAAGTGTGCCACTTCAAATTTATCCTCCAATATTTTCCTTCCAGCTGGATGTTGTGAACACGACTCCATCCTTTTTCATAGGCCATGTTTATTTGCTTCTTAAGAGTCAAAGAACACTGCAACTAAAAGGCCAGTCCATTTGGCTTAGATGTTAAGAGTAAAATAAGATTGAGGCAACAAAATACTAGCTATTTTGATTTGTTTACTTTGTGATTTAATGGGTACCAAAAACTGGAAATTGGGGCTTCTTCTTATATAGTTTGAATCTATGATACAAAGACCTGCCACTGAATTTGATTTGATAACTTTCTGAATATTCGCTAAACACATGCTCTTCTGTGTAGTTGAAAATTTTGAAATTTGAAATTAGGTTAGTGAAAATA